TAAGCCACCTTTTATTTTTTCTGTTTTTTCTTAATTCTTTGTTTCATCCTTTACTTCTCTCTTTCGTTCTTTGTTTCCTTCCTTTTTTTTTTTTGTCGGTCGTGGGGCTTGAACTCTGGGCCTGGGAGCGCTCTACCACTTGAGCTACAGCGCCACTTCCGGTTTTCTGGTGGTTTATTGGAGATAGGAGTCTCACGGTCTCTCCTGCCCGGGCTGGCTTTGAACCGCGATCCTCAGATCTCAGCCTCCTGAGTAGCTAGGATTACAGGCTTCTTTTGTTTCCTTTCTTTCTTTTTTTCTCTTTTCTGACCTGAGCTTATTCTCTATTTTACTGATGAAAAATTATTCTTTCTTTCAAACAGTTAATTAAATTATCACACAAAAACCAAAGCTGCCACTCTTTCAAGTACTGTACTAGCCGATTGTAGTCATGACTGTAATCCCAGCACAGGAAGGCTATATAGCAGGAGCAGTAGGAGAGTTCCAGACCAGACTGGGCAATATAAGAAAACTCTGACTCTTCGGGGCTGGGAAGGTGGCTCAGTGGTAGAGCACTTGCCTTGCATGCTCGAGGCCCTGGGTTCAATTCCTCAGCACCACATAAGAAAAAAGCCGGAAGTGGTGCTGTGGCTCAAGTGGTAGAGCGCTAGCCTTGAGCTGAAAAACTGAGGGACAGTGCCCAGGCCCAGAGTTCAGGTCCCATGACCGGACCCCCCCACCCAAAAAAAAAAAAAAAGAAAACTCTGATTCAAAGCAAAATAAAAACTAAAATACCAAAAGTGTTACCATAAGCTGCTTTTCTTTTGGAGGTCAGGGAAAGCGTCTATGAGAACAAAGTGCTGTGAGGTGTACAGCAGTGGGAAGGTCAATCATTGGACCTTGTGAAGAAAGGGTGAAAAGGTCCTGTGGGGGGTGGGGGGGGGGAAGAGAGCACAGAAATGGAAAGGGCCTAAAATAGGCTTTACAAAAATTATGTTTTGAGCCAGGTACCAGTGGCTCATACTTGTAAGCTGAGCAACTCAGATGGTTGAGATCTGAGACTCACTGTTCAAAGCCAGCCCAGGTAGGAAAGTCAGTGAGACTCCTATAGCTGATTAACCACCAAAAAAACTGAAAGGAGAGCTAGGGCTCAAGTGGTAGAGCTCTAGCCTTGAGCAAAAAAAGCTCAGGCACAGTGCTCAGACTCTGAGTTCAAGCCCTAGGATGTGCTTAAAAAAATCATATTTTGCCTGATGGGGATAGTTCACACCTGTAGTCCTAGCTACTCAGGAGGCTGAGATTTGAAGATCACAGTTTGAAGGAGGATCAGGAAATCCAGTGAGACTCTTATCTCCAATTAGTCAGCAAAAACTTGGAAGGAAGTGGAGCTGTGCCTCAAGTGGTATAGTACTGCCTTGAATGAAAAAGCTAAGAGACAGTGCCCCTTGTTCAAGCCCCAGTACCAGCACAGATACACAATAAACTAATAAATAAATAATAAAAATAAAGGAAATAAAAAATAAGGAAATACAAAGGAATTTACGTTTTTATTGTCAATCTATTGACTTGTCATAATTTATTTTTTTATTTTTTTGCCGGTCTGAACTCAGGGACTGGGCTTTACCCCTGAGCCTCTCTGTGCTCAAGGCTAGCACTCTACCATTTGAGCCATAGCTCCACTTCCAGCCTTTTCTGTTTATGTGGTACTGAGGAATCAAACCTAGGGCTTCATACATGCTAGGCAAGTAGTAAGCCACATTCCCAACCCCAGAATGATTTTTATACACATATGAAAGCATAAATATCTGTTTACAAATAATGTAAGATAACATATAGTCTTTGAAGAACTAAAAGTATGATTAAGGTTGTTTTGTGACTTGCTTTACTGTCTTAGAAACAAGAAACCAGGATATACTAGTGCCTGTTCTTTCTGCTTCTTCATGTAAAGTAATCTTCACAGAGCTGTCCCATATTGCCTGACCAGTCATGGGTAGGTGATTAGGTTGCTTCCCATTCTTTTGCTGTTAAACATAGCTAATAACATAGAAAACATTCCTAATCATCTCTTCATGTGTGTTGAAGGGTCAGTTCCTGAGTTAATCCCTCAAGAAAAATTGTGGGCCACTCATGTGAATATTTTCAATTCACAATAGAAAATATTAACCCCTACTTATTAAAGTCTTTACTTTTTTGACTCCCAAGTACTATATCATGTCACACAAATATGAATTTATGCATTGTTGTAAGAGGCAATTTAACAGCTGCTTTTGCTGGTTTACGCAAATTAACTGAAAGTCCCACAACTTTGTACCTGTGTCCTTTGATCTCAGCTACAATCAGTCCCCATGCAATCAGTCACCTTGGGTTCCAGGAAACAGAAAAATCACTGACAAGTATTGACACCAGATGCAGGTGAAATCTTAGCTCTAATCACTTGTGGTGTTACACTTTCTGAGTTCCTAGATATTTTGGGCATCCCTTCCAGGTAAGAATGTCTCCTGCCATAAAACACACACTTACTTATCCTTGAGATAAAGAAGGCAATCTCTTTTAGAAGCAAAAATAGTGCTTCTGTGTTTCTATGTTCCTTGTTTCTGAGTTGCCTTCACCAGGCCTTATTTTCCCTAACTTATCCTGCCTCAGTATCTCATGTAGAAGGAAAACCCCCCTCAAACAGGCAGAGCTCTTTCTTAGCACCATCATATTAAAATGAATAGACAAAGACTCAGGACACCACTTTGTTCCTATTCTAGTAATAAAGTCATAACTTCTCCAGAACTTCTCCAATGACCAAGACTGGGACAATGGTCACCAAGCCATGCTGGAGACATGGACTATTTTAACTATTCATACATTTCTCACACCCTACCCCAAATTCTCCCTGTTTTAACCTGAACCAATGTCTACACCAGGAAAATGGCTGAAGATGTACTTAAGTGCTATCTTCCCATGGGTGCCTTGTAACAAATCTTTCTCTATCCTTCACCATGCCTCTTTTTTTTTTTGCATAAGGGAGCAAGTAGTGGATCTAATTTGAGACTCCTGGCCTTTTGGCTTGGGGTCTAAAAATCCAATTTCACAGTTACACATACAAACTTGATAGTTTGGAATGCTTTGTAATTGACAACCGGCCATATTTTAAAAAGAAAAAAATGTATGTATCAACATCTATTAGTGTTTATGGACAATTCATCCCTCCCACATATAAAAATTGAGTGGGTTTCTGGAACCTCCTGTGCCCATAGGTATTGCTCTTCTAGTGTTCAGTGGGTAAGTGTCCTTGAAGCTAATCTGAAAAGCAAATTGACTCTTTCCCTCTCTTCACATTTTTCTCTCAAACTGCACATTTTGAAGAGTTGGAATTTTCCTTCTTTCTAAATTCACTTGATAACATTCAGATTTTCAGGTAATAATTCTAGGAACAGAAATACTCTTAAATTTTCTAGTGTCAGTCCCTGAAAATAGTCACAATAGTAATTAGGTCAATTGTTTGGGGAGCAAGATTTCTGTTTGTTTTAAATGCCTATTATCACAAGAGGACTCCGGGGCTCAGGTGAGTGGGAAATGTAATGATAGGAAGCTTCATCTTTCCTACAAGGATGTTGCTGTTAATTGTGTAACAATAAAAGCATTTTGTGTAAGGATCTGAGGTTTCAAGAGGTTTCTCAAAGCCACAATATCTGTCTCATCTGGGATTTCCTCAAAGTACTTCAAAGAAAAATAATGATGCTTAGAAAAGCTCGTTTGGGTAGCTTTTAGTAAGCTACTGAAGTTCTACTTAGGCATCCTTATGAGAGGTACTTAAAAACTGCTTTTTTTTTTTTCTTTTGGTGCAAAGCATTGACTCTTTACTTGGGCCTATGAATTAACTGAAAGCAGATTAAACACTAGGTAGCTAGGTATCAGACTCCATTTAGCAAGTAGGTCCTTTGTCCTGAGTCTTTCTCCCTTGTAGTCACTTTGCAGTATCCAAGAAAGGCTGGACCACTTGCCAGGCTTCCGTGACTTTTTGGAACAGGGAGGGCCTCAGCGGAGCAATCCTGAGACTGTGGATTACCAGATTGCCTGAAGCCACTTCTACTCACCTCTGAACACAGCTGTTGAAATGGGATTTAAAAAAACAAAAACAAAAACAAAACCTTTTGTTTCTTTTTTTTTGGAGTTCATTTCGATAAAGAAATGGGACTCTTCTACTCACACCTTTAACTATTCACTCCCTGCTCCCAATTCTCCCCCATTTAACTTTAACCCATTAAACCAATGTGTGTACCTCTGAAGAATGCTGAAGATGTCCCAAAGTCCTCTCCTCCCATGCCTGCCAAGTAATAAATCTCCTTTCTCTGCCCTGAACCCTCGTCTTTATAATGGAGGAGAATAACCAGGCCTGGGATCTAAAGCTCTGATTTCAACTTCATTGCAGTAGCTTCTCTATTATTTAAAAATGTGCCCCTCACTCCCGTCTGAAGCACTGTAAACACTGGGAATTTATAAAGTTCAGTGTACCTTAAAAGACTTGCACTGTGCGTAAAGGTTCAATTTGCCAATTCTGCTAAGGCCACAGTTTTTCTAATGAATCTTCACGCAATCCTTTACGTCTTTCAACCTTACCATCAGGACAAAGGGTGAGGTCAAGGGCACAGGCTGGCTGAAGGAGGAGGTTATTGGTGCAATCTGTGTACAGGTTTTTACTTTTCCACACTCAGCAAGCTTATCTCCACTCCGTGTGAACCTCTGTCCTGGCGTCACACAGACGCCTAGTTTACAGGAGCTGGCCTTGGCCAGTGGTCAGGATTAACGCCCGCAGAGACCAGCACCCACAGGACGCAGGCACCCTGCAGCACCACATTTTCTGCACGGGGAAGGGGTGGGTCGGCGACGCGCCAGGCAACGCCTCAACTTCCAGCCAATGAGGATCGAGAGATTCATCAGGGGCTTCGTTCATTGGGCAGAACTGCCCCCGCCCCGCGGAGATGGCAAACCCTTTTCGGTGACTGATAAATACCTTAGAACCCCGAGTTTGTCTGGGGTTTGGCTTTTGAGTTGGGTCAGCCACACTCCTTGAGCTCTATTTCTCTGGATTTTTCTGTCTCTAGTCCTGATTTCCCAGTTACACCTTTTCTGCTTTTTTCACCTTTCTCCTTCCTTCGCTGCTCAGCATGCAGAAACAAGAGGAGTCCGCGCACGGGTTTCAGCCCAGCTTCCAACATTTCGCCACGCAGGCCATCCACGTGGGCCAGGAACCCGAGCAATGGAACTCCCGCGCGGTGGTGCCCCTCATCTCAATGTCCACCACGTTCAAGCAAGGGTCACCCGGCCAGCACTCGGTGAGCTGGGGGTTGTGGTCTGCTGGCTGTCCTAGCAGGGCTGGGTGGGAAAAATACAATCAATACAGCATGTATTGATTGATAAGATTTACAAATGGGGAAAACACTTGAAAGCATGTTTCTAGACCACAAAGCAATTTGTAGCTGTTAGGTTTTTACAAAGAGATAAGTGAGTAAGAACAGCACCACGCACGTGGTATTCAGGTAAGGGGTAGGTTTATTCATCGTTCTGGCTGGCACCAGGCCATCTTGGTCCTCCACGCCGTGGGGAAAGGCCTGGGAAAGAGAGCTGGGAGAGCTAGGAAAGAGAGAGAAAAGAGCTAGAAAAGAAAAGAGAGAGCTGGGAAAGAGAGAAAGCTGGGAAAGAGAAAAGAACTAGAAAAGAGAGAAGAGCTAGAAAAGAGAGCGTCTGGGAAAGGTGGGAAAGAGAGAGCTAGGAAAGAGAAGGGAGCTGGGAAAGAGAAGAGAAGGAAAGAGCTGAGAAAGAGCTAGAAAAGAGCAGAGAGTGCAAAGCATGTTTCTACACTGTCTCTGTGGATCAACCGACCTAGTGCGGGTATTTCTTTGGATAAGCAGGACTAGAAGAAGCAGGTTATCCAACTTGCTGTTATAGATTTGGGTTGAAATTCTTGTGATTTTGGAAAAATTTTTGTCTTGAAAAATGAGTCATAACTTCTTTGATTACCTTTAGCAGAATGGTCAGATATCTAATAAAGAGTCAGCTTAAAAAGGTAATAACAAACATTAAGATTATTCCCAGTGTCTGCGTTATTAGTTATGGAGTATCTACATACGCCAAATATATACATACATATTATTACTAGTATTATATGCAGTTATTATTAGTATTATATACAGTGACTATCCAATCCTAATAGCAGCCTAAAGCATATTACTGGTAGAGTTGAGTTGCAAAAATCTCCTGAACCTAACCAGTATGGTACATTGTACTGTATTCTAACAATGCTAGTAACAATTTAATCCATTGCATCACTTACTTATGCACTGTGGCTTAGTGATTAAGAGCACAAGTCATATAGTTAAAGCACATAGGTTTAAACAATGTCATCACCCTTTCTGAGGTGGATAACCTTCAGGAAGTTATTGAACCTATCCAAACCTCAAGTTGATTTTACATGCATAGGATAATAATAGTACCTACCACATAGATTGTTAATGTTTGTAGTATGGTACACAATGATTACTCACTGAGTTTTCATCTACACTGTTCTATTTGGTCATCATAACACCTGGGTTAGAGGGTAGGACAGTTTACTTTTTATAGAAAAAGAATTGACCCAGACTCATGCATAAATGGCTTTTATGTAGATGAGAAAGGCTTCTTTTATCTTCTTTGGTGGTATGCTGCATAGGTCTTAGAATATTTAAAAGTTGCTGAGTCTCAGAACAAATTCATTTAATAAACTTTTTATAGTTACCAAACATTGATTATGCTTTCAAAACCACTTCTGTGTGTTATGTAAATTAAGAAAATATTCTTAAAGAGTTAGCCCTCTGTATTATGTGGTAAGCTTCTAAGGATGTTTCCACAATTGGTTGGGATATTCCCAGCTACTGCATTATGGAGTACAGATGTGTAGACAATCACTTTTCCAAGCTTGTAGCTTGTTCCCAATATAAATTTACTGGATGTATGGCTCCCCGAGCTTTGGAACCTAGTGCATATCACTCAGGTATGGTATGAATAATGAAAGGTTTTCAGAAAGCAAGCAGGAATGTGTAAGTTGATAATATTCTGCTTAGTACCTTTAAACAACATCAGGTAAAAGCATAAAGAGAATTTGAAAAGTTGAATGAGAAGTTTCTAATTCTTTTGTTCCGTTTGAAAGGCCACTGAACATAAGAGGCAATTTGCCACCAAAATGTAGTGCTTTTCCTCTCACTAGTGAATGTTTATAGAAAGATGGGGTTCCTTTTTGTGGCTACTGTCATAAAATTTCACGCTTTTAAAAAAATTTGGCCTGGTGGGTACAGCTACAAGTGACACTAAGAAGGTTGGTGAAGTGTGGTGGGAATATTCTTAAGCCTTATAATCTCTGTCTGCTCAGTGTGTCCAAAATGGGGAAACAACACAACAAAACTTAGAAATTACTATTACTAATACTGGGCACTCCAGAATCAGAAACAAAGATGTCAATAATAGTTGTATTTTGGTATGTGCTGTATTAGTCAGGAGAAAATTATAAGACTTTTCTTTTTCTTGACCCAGTCCTGAAGCTTGAACTCAGAACTCTGAGCTGCTTTTTTCTCAAGACTAGCACTCTACCACTTCAGCCACAGCTCCATTTTGGTTTTCTGGTGATTAATTGGGAAGGAATTAAGAGTCTCATAGACTTTCCTGACCCGGTTGGCTTCAAACAGCCATCTTCAGCCTTATGAGTAGCTAGGATTACAGGTGTGAGCTGCTGGTGCCTGGTTTAAGACTTTTAATTAATGTTCAGGTCCTACATTTGAACTTCTGGCTCTGACACCTCTCAGGCCTCATAACATTTGGCTTCATTTTCCTTGAAGCAGATCATGAGGTTCAATAAAATGACAAGATGAATGTAGATATTATAGTATCATAGCAGAAAAAGAAGCAACGCAACTATTTAGAAAGTATTGCATAGAAGGGCTGTGCCAAGAATTACTTTCCATTTTTGGAATCATTTTTTTTTTCTTCCCTTTTGCTGGTTCTAGGCTTGAACTCAGGAACTGAGTTTTGCCTCTGAGCTTTTTTTGGCTTGAAGCTGGTACTCTGCCATGTGAGTCACAGCTTCACTTCTGGATTTTTGTTTTTGTTTTTAGTAGTTTATTGGAGACAAGAATATCATGGACTTCCTGCCATAGCTGGCTATTAACCATGACCCTCAGATCTCAGTCTCCTGAATAGGTAGTATTACAAGCATGAGCCACCAGGTCCAGCTTGGAATCACTTTTATAGGGCAAATATTTTTAAAAATTTTTATTTTATTGTAAAGATGCTGTTCAATTACCTTACATGAGCCAGGTAATTGAGTACATATTTTGTAGAGCATTGATGTTGGGCAAATCTTTCCCTAACTTGCATTGCTATTTCTTAGGAAATGAAATGCAGGTTAGAGTGAAGTTGCTCTGTGGCTTCATGTAATTCCCTTTTCCTAATGGCTCCAGAATAATAGATAAAGTTGACTCTAACATAATAATAATACTATACTGGTATTAAGAATTGCCATTTGCCTACTGGTTAACAGGTACCAGGAAACGAGCAGCGATAGTCACCACAGTTTTATGAACTAGGTAGCTGTAATTTCCTCCCATGGTACAGATAATTAAGATTACTCTTGTGTTATTTACCTAGCGTTATTTACCTAGACACAATCTGCTCATATGTGGTAGACACATAAATCTGGCTCAGTTTGGCTACCATAAGAGCCTCTCTATATCACCACAGCCACGACTCTGTCATCTTTCTCTCTAACACTAAAACACATTAGACTTATTTTGGTTGACTTAGATTGAACACATAGTTATGGAGTTATCTTCATTAAAACGCTGATAATAAACTTAATGTCCTTAGATGAACTCTTACTTCATTTTTTTCAGGGATTTCAATACAGCCGTTCTGGAAATCCCACTAGAAATTGCTTGGAAAAAGCTGTGGCAGCACTGGATGGAGCTAAGTATAGTAAGTGACTAATACTTTACAGGAGAGATTTTTAAATGTATAGAGACCATCACAGAGGCACAGAATGTACAACTAGAAAGAAATAAGAGATTTGCTGGCTCAAAACTCCTATTTTACTAAGACTTGGACTCTGACAAGGATATTTCAATGGGTCTGATATACACATGTGGAGTCAGCTAGAAATAAATATGTATAGTGTCAAAATTCGAATGTTTATTATTTAGTATTCATGGGACTACATTTTTCATCGAAAGCTGTTGGTGTACTTTAAAAAATACAGTTTGTAACTCTAGTTATGAAGATATAAACTTTCTTATATTCTGTTTCATTCACTTAATAATTTGTGCTTGAGAATAGCACAAGAGTTCTTTGTAAAAATGAGTTAATCTTGATAATGTGCTCTCAGAGTCTAGGAATTAACTCCTTGGACATTTTTTTTTTTGGCCAGTCTTCAGGCTTAACTCAGGGCCTGGGCTCTGTCCCTGAGCTTCTCCGTGCTCAAGGCTGGTGCTCTACCACTTGAACCACAGTGCCACTTCTGGCTTTTTCTTTTTATGTGATCCTTAGGAATCAAATCCAGGACTTCATACATGCTAGGCAAGCACTCTACCACTAAACCACATTCCCAGCCCCCTCCTTGAACTTTTTTATTGTCACTATTGTTTGTTCATGTTGTGAAGTCATCTTTGTAGTTTTCATATAGATGATACTGAATAAGGGCAGAATAATGAATAGAAAATAAAAGTCTATTTATCTGTCATATACATGCATATATATACATATTATTTTAAAACTATCTTATTCTTGAATTATAAACAGAGGTTTTGTTATGACCTTAATTAGGACACCTCTGGCAACTCAACAATGATGGCTGACTCATCAGCTATCACCAGGCAGTGAGTGACATAAAGTAAACAAGTAAACACTGTGGGTGTTTATTTGTTTGGTTTTATTTGCTTCAAATCTGTCTTTTTGGCTTACTCTTGATTTTTATATTAGGTTTGGCCTTTGCTTCCGGGTTAGCAGCTGCTATGACGATTACCCAGCTTTTAAAAGCAGGAGATGAAATTATTTGCATGGACGATGTGTATGGTGGTAGGTAACCTCTCTCATTCATGCGTTGGTTGATATTCTAAATATAATAACATGAGCTTTGAATTATATTAATAATATTGCTCTATTTATGATCATTTATTTTCTTTGAAAGATATGAGAGGTTCAAGAGAAGTAAAGTCTAGGCTCTGAAACTGCTAATGAAGAGATTGTTTAGTATTAATTATATTAATTTAAACTGCTAGAATGAGAATGTAGCCCTTGATCAACTCTCAAACATATTCTGGTCTATAGAAGAAGATAGTGGGTAGAGAGAATATATTCTAGTACTCTTTTTTGTACTGGTCTTGGGCTTGAACTCTGGGCCTAGGCACTGTCTTTGAACTTTTGTGCTCAGGGCTAGTGTTCTACCACTTGAGCCACAGTTAGACTTTTGGCTGTTTGATGGTTAGTTAGTGATAAAAGTATCACAAGCTTTCCTGGCTGGGCTGGCTTTGAACTTCAATTCTCAGATCTCAGCCTCCTGAATAAGTAGGATTACGAGTGTGAGTCATCACCTCCTGACTACTTTAATCATTCAATACATATATATATATACTTATGTATTGTATTTTACATATAATGTATATAATATATAAATAATATGTAGTACATATAACATATACTATATATTAAAGTATACATATATGACCTTGTTTGTGTTTATATATATATATATGTTTTAGGTGCAATGTCTTCATATAAGAGTAAACATGTACCCTTTCTCTTTCTAATCCTGGCTTATTTCACTGAATATGATAAGAACAAATTTTTCTTAATATGATGTTCTTTTCTTACTATTTTAAGTGTTGTAAAGAACATACATTTCTTAATACAATGTTCTTTTTATTTTATCTGATTATCTTAGGTATGAATAGATACCTCAGGAACGTGGCAGTTAAATTTGGATTAAAGGTTTCTTTTGTCGATTGTACAAAACCCAAATTGCTAGAGGCAGCAATTACACCAAAAACCAAGGTAATTTACTAGTTTTTAGTTTAGTCTTTTTGTTGTTGTTGTTGGTGGTGGCCGTGGGGCCTGAACTCTGGGCCTGGGCGATGTCTCTCAGCTCTTCAGCTCAAGGCTAATGCTCTACCACTTGAGCCACCTTGCCACTTCCAGCCTTATGTGGTCCTGAGGAATCAAACTCAGGGCCTCAAGCATGCAAAACAAGCACTCTACTACTGAGCCACCTTCCCAGCCCCCTTGTCTTTTCTTGTGATACCTGTTTTCATAATTTCTGGGTAGCAGAGGATATAATTTTTTTTGGTTGTTGTTGGTGGTGATCATGGGGCTTGAACTCTGGGCCTGGGCACTGTCCCTCAACTCTTTAGCTCAAGGCTCGTGCTCTACCACTTGAGCCACAGCTCCACTTCCAGTTTTCTGATGGTTTATTGGAGATAAGAGTCTCACAGAGCCGGGCGCTGGTGGCTCACGCCTGTAATCCTAGCTACTCAGGAGGCTGAGATCTGAGGATCGCGGTTCAAAGCCAGCCCGGGCAGGAGAGACCGTGAGACTCCTATCTCCAATAAACCACCAGAAAACCGGAAGTGGCGCTGTAGCTCAAGTGGTAGAGTGCTCGCCTTGAGCTGAAGAGCTGAGGGACAGCGCCCAGGCCCAGAGTTCAAGCCCCACGACCGACAAAAAAAAAAAAAAAAGAGTCTCACAGACTTTCCTGTCTGGGCTGGCTTTGAAACTGGAGCCTCAGATCTCATCCTTCTGAGTAGCTAGGATTACAGGCATGAGCCACTGACACCGAGCCTGAATAAAAAAGTTTTTAGAAGCCATTGGAAATACATATTATATATATGCATAGGCTGATATCTCACAAGATTATAACCTATTATAAATTCATACAAGAATTTCTGAATGAATTCAATTTCTGGTTCTGTGTCATAGTTGATCTATTGTTTTGTTTTCTTTAAACAAACTCTGCAATGTGTGTGTGTGTGTGTGTGTGTGTGTGTGTGTGTGTGTGTGTGTGTGTGTATGCCAGTACTGGAGTTTGAACTCAAGGCTTGGACACTGTTCTTTAGCTTTTTCACTTAAGACTGGCTCTCTATCTCTAACTCTTGGTGGTTAATTGGAAAAAAGAGACTCATAGACTTTTGTGCCTAGCCTGGCTTTGAACTACAACATTCAGATCCCAGTCTCCTGAATAGCTAGGATTACAGGTATGACCACTAGTGCCTGAGTTCAATTTCCTCATTTGTAAAAAGTAATTGTTCCTTCTTCATGGAAAAGTAGTTGTGATTAAATGAGATAATGCATAAGAACTGCTTGTTATAAGTGTCTGATATGGTAACTGTTAGAAATGTTCAGTTGAAATTGTTAAAAACAAAAATGGGATGGTGTAACATAATGGTAGAGCCTTTGGCCAGCATGTGAGAGGCACTGGGTTTGATTTTTCCGCACTACACAATTATTTATTTATTTAGTATTCAGTAGCACTCAATTCTTAACTGTCTCACCAAGCTAGTATTAGTAACAAGTCATCACAGAGACTAGAATGTACAGAAGTTTGCTAAACTGCAAAACCCTAAGCATGATGACTCAGGACTCTGAAGGATATTGCAGCAAATAATAGAAATAAAGAATGAACACCTCCTCCTAGCCCCTTCCCCCACTCCCACTCCTGGGAAGCTTGTATGCCACCAGAAGGTGTTTTGTGCCTGAGTGAATGGCAGGTGTGCTATTCTTTCTTGGGATCACATTTAAATTCTGTGGTTGTCAAAGGAGCAGTATCTTTTGTAAAAAGTCAGCCTTTCTCAGCTTTTTGCTAAGATCGAAGATTATGTTCAAATGAATGTTATAAAATTAAAATCTTTTCTTATACAAACAACTTCTTTGTAAATTAACATAGTAGTGGGGGCTGGGAAGGTGGCTCATTGGTAGAATGCTTGCCCTGGGTTTGATTCCTCAGCACCACATAAGCAGAAAAAGCTGGAAGTGGCGCTGTGGTAGAGCACTAGCCTTGAGCTGAAAAGCTGAAGGACATCGCCCAGGCCCAGAGTTCAGGCCCCAGGACCGACAAAAACAAAACAAAACAACAACAACAAAAAATGGTAGTGGGTGAGCTTTCACTATTTATATTTTCAAAGGTTTTGTTATTTTATTTAATCTTACTTGGGGGAAAGGATGCTTAATAAAATAGCAGGTCTTTCTATGGGGAGAAAATAAACTGTGAGTAAATTAAATTTTGTACAAAGAATTTTAGATAATTACTCTTTGCTGACTTGATTTAATGGAATTTTTCTTCTGAAGTACCAGACTTGGCATTGTAAGGCAAATATTTTACTGTTATTTTTAAGGCGTTTACAAAGGAGTAACAATTTTATAAGTTACGTTATGAGTAGAATGTGGGAGACATTTTTATTTTTATTTTATTTTTACAGTCCTGGGGCTTGAACTCAGGGCCTGGGGACTGTTCCTGAGCTTCTTTTGCTCAAGGTTAGCACTTTATACCACTTCAGCCACGGCACTACTTCCAGCTTTTTCTGTTTATGTGTTATTAAGGAATTGAACCCAGAGTTTCATGATGCTAGGCAAGCCACAATCTACCACTAAGCCACATTCCCAGCCCTTAATTTTTATTTTATTTTATTTTTTGTAAAGATTCTGTACAGAGGGGTTCAGCTATGTGAGTGAGGCAATGAATACATTACTTATCCATCATTGTTTCCCCTTCCCTTCTTTGTTGTTGTCTCCCACCATCCCTTCCCTTCCCCACCTCCCACACTCCTCCTAACCCCCTCATCCCTCCCACCCGAGCTTGTAAAGTTTGTTTCCAATATGCTGTCTTGTGGGTATGCTTGTTGCAATGCGTCATCCCGTGTCCTTCAGTGTTTTGTTATTCCCCTTCCTCTCCCCAGATTAGACAAATGTATGTACAAGATGCAGGATACCAAAATCTAGTACAGTGACAACAGGGGATGTGCCATAGGGGAAAGAACATACAAAGGAAACAACAGCAGCAACAAAAAATAAAATCACGAGGTACATTTAAAAAATAACAATGAAGACAGACCTCTTGTGTCCATATCTTGGGGTTCATTTCACTTAGCATCATCTTATATGGTAATCTGTACATGGCTTTTGAACTTTTCAGCTCATCTGATAAGATTATCCTATATGCATACTAATTATTGCAAATAAGGGAAAGTTGAAGAGGAGTAGAGAATGGACATCCTTGTCTCATTCCTGAGTTTAGATGAAATGGTTTTAGCTTTTCGCCATTAAGAATAATGCTGGACAATGAGATGTACAAGTTGTTATGTCGAAAAACGAACTTTACAACTTTGGTGGGGGGAATGGGGGCAGGGAGGATGGGAAGGGATGGGAAGGGGAAACAAAGCAGGAGGCTACAATGCTTGATAAGAAATGTGCTCATTATCTTACCCATGTAATTGTAACCCCTCTGTACTGTATTTTCACAATAAAAATATATTTAAAAAAAAAAGAATAATGCTGGGTGTAGGTTTCTCACTCATGGTATTTATTGTATTGAGAAATGTTCCCTGGATTCCTAGCTTCTCCAGAGCTTTCATCATAAAGGGGTGTTGGATCTTGTCAAATGCTTTTTCTGCATCTATTGAGATAATCATGTGGTTCTTATCCTTACTCTTGTTGATGTGATATATTACATTAATTGATGTGTGTATATTGAACCAGCTTTGCATTTCTGAAATGAATCCTATTTGACCATGGTGAATGATTATTTTGATGAGTTGTTGAAGTCAGTTGGCCAAAATTTTGTTGAGAAGTTTTGCATCGATGTTCATCAAAGAAATGGATTCTCTTTCTTTGATGAGTCCTTGTCTGGTTTTGGGATGAGGGTTATGATGGCTTCATAGAAGGAGTTTGGTAGTGAACTTTCACTTTCAATTTCAGTGAAAAGTTGGAGGAGTATTGGTGTGAGCTCTGCTTTGAAAGCCTTGTGGAATTCAACAGTGAACCCATCTGGTCCTGGGCTTCTCTTGGTTGGAAGGTCTCTTATTGCTGTTTCTATTTTGATGCTTGATATGGGTCTGTTAAGTTGGTTTGACTCATCTTGGTTTACTTTGGGCATATCAAGATTTGCTAGAAATTCTTCCATTTCATCCAGGTTCTCAGACTTATTAGCATAAAGGTTTGAGAAATATTCTCTTACAATGTTCAGAATCTTCATTGTTCCTGTAGTGATGTTTCCATTCTCATCTCTGAGTTTGTTTATTTGGGTGTATTCTCTTCTTTTTCTGGTAAGATTTGGTAAGGGTCTGTCAAGTTCGTTAATTTTTATTTATTTATTTATTTATTTTTTATTGTGAAAATACTGTACAGAGGGGTTACAATTGCATGGGCAAAGTTCGTTAATTTTTTTAAGAACCAACTCTTTGTTTTGTTGATTCTAGGTTTTTTTGGATTCTAATTCATTTAATTCTGATGTAATTTTATTTATTTGTTTCTGTCTATTGGATTGGGATTTGGCTTGTTGCTCTTTTTCAAGGAACTTCAGGCACATCATTAAATTGTTAGTTTGAGATCTCCAATTTGTTGATGTAAGAACTCAAAGCTCTGAATTTTCCTGTGAGTACTGCCTTTGCCGTGTCCCAGAGGAGCTGGTAATTTGTATGCTCATATTTGTTAAATATTATGAACATTTGAATTTCCTTTTTATCTTTTTGGTGGTTGTGGGGCTTGAACTCTGGGCTTGGGCACTATCCCTCAGCTCTTCAGCTCAAGGCCAGCACTCTACTGCTTAAACCACAGCGCCACTTCCGGTTTTCTAGTGGCTTATTAGAGATAAGAGTCTCACGGACTTTCCTGACCGGGCTGGATTTGAACCGTGATCCTCAGATCTCAGCTTCCTTAGTAGCTAGGATTACAGGTGTGAGCCACCAGCGCCCAGCAGCCTCTGTCTTTTAGGATTTTCTTTGGTGGCATTTGATGTTGAGTTCTAATTTTATTACCTTGTAGTCTGAGAGCATTCAGGGCATAATTTCAATGTTTCTGAATTTGGACAGATTTTATTTGTGACTTAAAATGCAGTCCATTTTGGAGAATGTTCCATGTGCTGCTGAGAAGAATGCATAATCTGTTGCTGATAGGTGAAATATTCTATAGAGGTCTGTTAAGTCTAGTTGGTCTATCCCATCCCTTAAATTTTGAAATTGTTATTTTAAAAGTGATATACAGAGAGGTTACACTTTCATAAGTCAGATAATGATACATTTATTTTTGACAATGTCATCCCTTCCTTTGTTCTCTCCCAATCTTACCTTCCTGTCCCCACCCATTCATTTCATTTCATGTTCATTTTCAACATAATGTCTACTGAGTACCACTGTGTATTTGTTCACTCTTTGTGGAAGGCAAATTTTTAAGTTAATGTAAAACTTATTTTTAACTTATTTCTCATTTTTTTTAATTATCTGTAGGAGCAATTTCTTAGCCAGGAATAACTCTTTATAAAGATTCTTATAGAATAAGCACTATTTTAACCACCTCACTTTTTAAAAATAGTGAATTAAGAAGTGTGAAGTGTATTAAACTATATTGCTTGTCCACTTTACTAAAAAACGATAATCCTACTAACGAAAAAGCTGTAGATGGTGTATTTCAGTACACGGGCACCTGTATTGAATTCTCTTCTGTTCTATGGTCTTTTCAGTAATTGTTACTTGAATTGTAGGTAGGGTTTGGATTCTATGGGTAAACATTATATTTCTTAAGTGAATTATAATCAGGCTTTCTGCTGTTTGTCACTTCTTTCTTTAATTAAGCCTAATTGTTATAATTTAAGCCCTAAGTGTAAAATTTTAAACTTTCTAGTGCATCTGGTAAAAACTATTTTAGTATCATATGTATAATTATCTGAAAGGTCTAAGGTATGTTCTTTCTTTAACAAGATAATTGGTTATTTATTTGTTTATTTTTGTTGGTCTTGGGAGCTTGAATACAGGGTCTGGACATTTACTGTCCCTGGGCTTTTTTGCTCAAAGCCAGCACTTTACCACTTTGAGACACAGGGCTACTTCTGGTTTTCGGTGGTTAATTGGAATAAGAGTCTCTTGAACTTTCCTTCCCAGGATGCCTTCGAAACACCATCCTCAAATCACAGCCTCCTGAGTAGCTAGGATTACAGGCTGACACTTGATTTCTTTAATTTCAACTTTCTGTCTCCAATAAAGTGAATAGTGCTCCAAGCTTCTAGAAGTGTCTGGCATTCTTTTTTTGTCAGTGTGAATTTTTTTTACAACTTAAAAAAAATTGTTCTTTTAAAGGTGATGTAGAGATGCATACAGTTACTAAGTCAGGTAAAGAGTACATTTCTTTTTGGACAATGTCGCCCCTTCCCTCCTTCTCTCCCAGTTTTTCCCTCCTGTCCCCACTCACAAGTTGCATAGTTCATTTTCAACAAAATGGCTAGTGAGTACCACTACTGCATTTGTTCACCTTTTATCCCTCTGTTTCTGTGCTCCTTCAAGTCCTCCCTGCAAAGACAGATAATCAAGCAAACAAGGGGGAAAAAAATCCCAAAAACCTCTTGCTTCTATTTCCTGGAATTCATTTTGAAAAAAGTTATTTTATATGATCAGATGCACAGAGGCATTGCACCTTTGTGTTCCTCCTCTAAGCACATCTTTCTTTGGTCTCACTGTATGTGAATGTTTAGAATTCTGTGTAATTTATAATGTCTCAGTGTATTTTAGATCTAGCTTCCCCATATGAGAAAAAAATGTATGCCATTGTCTCTCTGAGCTTGAATTACTTCACTCAACATGATTTGTTCCAGGTCTATCTATTTCCCTGCAGATGACATAATATTATTCTTCCTAATGGCTGTGTAAAATTCCATTGTGTAGAAGTATAACATATTTTTGACCCACTCATTTATTGTAAGGCATCTAAGCTTTTTCCATAACTTGGGTATTGTGAATAGTGCAGCAATGAACATGGATGTGTAAGTGTCTTTACAATATCCTGCCTTAGCCGGGCGCTGGTGGCTCACGCCTGTAATCCTAGCTACTCAGGAGGCTGAGATCTGAGGATCGTGATTCAAAGCCAGCCCGGGCAGGAAAGACTGTGAGACTCCTATCTCCAATAAACCACCAGAAAACTGGAAGTGGCGCTGTAGCTCAAGTGGTAGAGCGCTCGCCTTGAGCTGAAGAGCTGAGGGACAGAGCCCAGGCCCAGAGTTCAAGCCCCATGACCGTCAAAACAAAAAAAACCAAAAAAACCCAAAAAAACAATATCCTGCCTTATGGTATTCTGGGTAGATGCCCAGGAATGATATGGCTAGGTTGTAGGAAAGATCTATGCTTCATTTGTTGAGGAACCTCTAGACTACTGTTGATAGTGGTTGTACTAGTTTACATTCCCACCAACATTGTAATCAAGTCCTTCTTCCACACATCCCTGCCAACATTTGTTGTTGGCCAATCTAACTGGGGTGAGATGGAATCTTAAAGTTGTTGTGATTTGCATTTCTTTTATGACCAAGAATGTTGATCATTTTCTCATATGTTTCTTGCCATTCTTACCTCTTCCTCAAGGATATATTCTTACACAATCTGTATTATTTATTTTTGAGGAAAAAAATCCTGACTGAACTATGACTCTGGAATATTTGTCTTTTTTATGGAAAATATTTATGCTAATTAACTTTGGTATTTTTCTGCTTAGTTATACATTATCTCATTGGTCATTACAAAAGCTCTACCATGTAAATATTGCCTACTCTCATTATTCAGGTGAAGAAATGGAGGAAGGTAAAAGATAATTTATTTAGCTATGATGTCTCAGAAATATTTAGGAGTAGACAGGATTTACATTTGAGCTTTCCAATTTCATTGTTCATATGTTTCAATAATATAATGTCAAAGCCTCCTAGGTTGTTACATATATGAGCTGTCCTGGCTGTTGGTGGCACACACTGATAATCCTAGCTACTCAAGGGGCTATAATCTGAGGATCATGTTTTGAAGCCAGCCTCGGCAGCCGATCCATCCAATTAACCAGTAAAAGCTGGAAATGAAGGTGTGTGTGCGGGTCAAATGATAGAGAACTAGCCCTAAGTGGAAAAAGCTAAGCAAGAGAAGAAGGTCCTGAGTTCAAGCCCCATTACAGACAGACAGACCCCCCTACACACACACACACACACACACACACACACACACGAAAGAGAAAGAGAGAGATTTGTATGTTTTATTTCTTTGTGTAGTTTTTACAAACTGCTGTCATTTGTTGAATTATTATAGCTCGTTTGGATTGAAACTCCCACAAACCCTAATTTGAAGATAACTGACATTGAAGCTTGTGCACATATTGCCCACAAACATGGAGACATTATTTTGGTTGTGGATAACTCTTTTATGTCTGCGTATTTCCAGGTAAATGACAGTAGTACTTTTGTTTGTTCTTTTAGTTATGATTAATAGACTACATGGGTTAGATGTAATTAAGAAATGAATGACTGTTTGCATTAACATTATCAAACACCTGAAATCCGATCTCTGTTATTGATTAGAAGAAAATTAAATTTGAATATTTTGTTCTATTAGTTAATACCTTTTTAAACCTATGAAACCATGTAATACTTGTATTTTTATTTATTATTTTTTAAAAGTTATTTTCTTTTAGTGCAGGTCCTGCCACTTGAACTAGGGTCTGAGTGCTGTCACTGAGCTCTTTTGCTCAAGGCTAGCACTTGAGCCACAACTCCACTCTCAGCTATTTGCTGGTTAATTGGAGATAAAGAGTCTCATAGACTTTTCTGTGTGGGTGGCTTCAAACTATGATCCTCAGGTCTCAGCTTCCTGAGTAGCTAGGATTACAGCTGTGAGCTACTGGTGCTAACTGACTTAAAAATCTAAACAGATTAGTTTATATGTATTTGATGTAAAAATCACTGAATGCTTTTATAAATTACTGTATGTGTTTAATGAGTTGTAAAATGCCAGAATCCCTGATGTTTGTGACATGTTTAGATACCATTCATCGAACTGCTATAAAGAAACAGGTTTCAGAGATGACTTGACCATGGAACTTGTAACTTTAAATTCCACATTAGAGTCTTAGATTTCTTTTTTTCCTTTCTTCCTTCCTTCCTTTCTTCCTTCCTTCTTTCCTTCCTTCCTTCTTTCCTTCCTTCCTTCCTTTCTTTCTCTCTCTCTTTTTCTCTTTCTTTCTTTCTTTTTTTTTGTTTTTTGGTCCAGTTGTGGGGCCTGAACTCTGGGCCTGGCCGCTGTCCCTCAGCTCTTCAGCTCAAGGCTAGCGCTCTACCACTTGAGCCACAGAGCCACTTCTGGCTTTTTTCTTTTTGCTTATGTGGTGCTGAGGAATCGAACCCAGGGCCTCATGCATGCAAGGCAAGCGCTCTACCACTGAGCCACCTTCCCAGCCCTCTTTCTTTTTTCTCTCTTCTTTCTCTCTTTTGTTCTTTCTTTCTCTTTTTCTGTTTCTTTCTTTTTCTGTTTCTTTCTCTCTTTTTCTTTCTTTCTTTCCTCCTTTCTTTCTGTTTCTCTCTTTCCTTCTTTCTTTCTCTCTTTCTCTCTTTCTTTCTGTATTTGTTGTGAAGCTTGAATGTGGGGTCTGGGCTTTGTTCCTGAGCTCTTTTGCTCAAGGCTAGTGTTGTACCATTATAAGCCACAGCATCATTTCCAGTTTTCTGGTGGTTCATTGGAGATAAGAGTCTCATGGCCTTTCCTGCACAGGCCAGCTTCAAGCCATGATCCTCAGATCTCAGCTTCCTAAGTAGCTAGAATTACAGGTGTGAACCACTGGTAGCTGGCTTCTAGTTTTATTTTTCATGTGAATTTGTTGGGAGGGAGTCGAGGAGAAAATAATATCAAACATGGTGGAAAATTTAAGATGTATATGCTTTTGCAAAGTTAGTATTGATGAAAACAAGAGTGGAATTGAAAAGCAAAACTTTAATAAATATGAATTTAAATAAATGATGAAACATTTGTGTCTTTCAGCGACCTTTGGCTTTGGGAGCTGATATTTGTATGTGTTCTGCAACAAAATACATGAATGGTAAGATATACACAGTCTACACAGAATCTTCTTTTTCCATGATGAATGAAAAATTACGTAGAGCTTGATATTTTATGCCATTTTCTACTACTACAGGATTTTCCCCTATGACTCCTGTAGAAATTTTTTTTCAAAAAATTCACACTTTGATTAAATGTTTGACTTCATTTATAGTAGACAGAATGATGTTCATTCATGATTCATAAGAAAGGACTCAAGTTTATTATAAAGATTTTTTTATTCAGTGATTTTTATTTTACTGCTATTTATGTATAGTATTATTTCTGTTAAGCTAAATCATTTAAACATATTTTCTAGGATTTTCTTAAGTAGTTCACTCCACCCCAAGTTATGAAATGAAGAACAAACATAAATTGTTTTAAATATATTTTTACCTTCCATGTTGGGGATGGAACCCAGGGCTTTGTGCATGTTATGCAAGTACTCTACCTTGGAATGATACCTCAATCCCTGTCAATGTTTTGCTTTGTTTTAGGTCACAGTGATGTTGTCATGGGCTTAGTTTCTGTTAATTCTGAAGACCTCCATGACAGGCTTCGCTTCTTGCAGAACAGTAAGTAAATAGTCTGGATTTCCTTTTAGGCCACTAGTGACTCCATTTGAAATTTGTATCTACATGAATGTTACAAAACATTTAGAGAAAAGAAAACTCTGGCTTTTGGAGGAACTGAAAAAATAGTTATAAAATATTACAGTTTATATATCATCTGAAGCTTTATGACATGATACAAGAAGTAAATTTTGTATCATTTTTAATTTAATTTAGTGGTACTGGGGTTTGAACTCAGAGCCTCAGGCTTGCTAAGCTGGTGCTCTGCCACGTGAGCCACATCTCTAGCTCTGCTTCTTGATGGTTATTTTGGAGATGAGTTTGGTCAACTTTTCTGCTGAGGCTGATTTTAAACTTTTATTATCTAAACCTCAACTTCCTGAGTTAAGATTACAAGTGTCTAGTTTTCTGTATTAATTCTTTTTTTTTTTTTTTTTTGTGCCAGTCCTGAGACTTGAGTTTGGGTCCTGGGTGCTGTCCCTAAGCATTTTTAATCAAAGATAGAACAACTACCACTTGAGCCACAGCTCCACTTCTGGCTTTTTTGATAATTAATTGGAGATAACAGTTTCACAGACTTTCTTGCCTAGATTGGCTTTGAACCATGACCCTCAGATCTCAGTCTCTTGAGTACTAGAATTTCAGGTGTTTAATACCACCTGCTCCTGGCCTTTCATATTATTATTAATCATGATTTGTTTAAGCCTAAATGAATTTTCAGTTTTAAGACTTACTAGATTTTCTCTGTGTAGTATTAGAATTTTTCAAAGAAATGCAAAGTTAAGTAATGGGCAGTATATCATGTCACTGAACTCATACAAAGGACTAATTACTTTATATTTGAAAAGTTCATCTTATGTGGGAAAAGTTTTTTTTTTTTTTTTTTGTATGTATGCTCCTGGGGTTTGAACTCAGGGTTTTGCACTTACCTAGGCAGGTATTCTACCACTTGAGCCACTTTACCAGCTCTGGATTTTTACTTCATTTATGGATATTTTAGAGCACATTTATCTTTTTTTTTTTCTTTACAAAGTTTTACATCTATGTTTATTTTTTAAAAAAATAAGGTTTCAATTGTGAAAATACTGTACAGAGGGGTTACAATCACATGAGAAAGGTAATAAGTACATTTCTTTTTTTTTTTTTTCACATTTTAGAGTCCCTTTATTTGTCTTGGCTGTGCTGCCAATCTTTAAGAGATGACCTTCTTTCACTCATGTATGTCTTTTTTTTTTTTTTTTTTAATTTAATTTTATTTTATTTGAGAACATACTATACAGAGGGGTTACAATTACATGGGCAGGATAATGCATACATTTCTTACCAAGCATTGCAGCCTCCTCCTTTGTTTACCCTTCACCTCCCTTCCCAGCCTCCCCCCTCCCCCCCCACCCAATCATACCCCCCCTCCCCCCAGCACATTTATCTTAAGCGTGTTTCAGGAGTGACTTTATAAATCAGCTTCCCTCCTAAAACTGAAGCATTGAGCCTCACTGTTACTACCATGTATTATGAAAAAAAGAATCAGAGATAATTTTCTGGTCTTCACAATGCCTTCAAATTAACCCAGGATGTATTTATTTCTCAGCTCTTGGAGCTGTTCCGTCTCCCATGGACTGTTACCTCTGTAATCGAGGTCTGAAGACACTACAACTTCGAATGGAGAAGCATTTCAAAACTGGAATGGCTGTGGCCCGGTTCCTGGAAGCTAATCCTGTGGTAGAAAAGGTTATTTATCCTGGTATGATCATTTAACTTCTAAGCAGATGTTGTATATGCCACAACTTTTTAAAGAGTTATCCTGAGCATTTGTTCATGTAATTTGTAAACTAGGTACTTTCATATGTTTATGCTTTATTATTATTATTGTTTATTATTTAGGTGTCAGACCGTACTAGGTCTGGCAAAAAGTGACATTGTGGCTATGGCATTGTATTCCTTATAGTAATATGGATGTTAAAAAAAATTGTCTTGGCCTGAGCATGGTAGTACATGTCTATAATCCCACCAGTTGGAAGAGAGAGACAGGCGGAATTTGAGTCAGAGGCCTGCCTGAGTTACAAAACAAAACTTTCTCAAAAAAAAAAACAAACCAAACCAAATGAAACATTAGTCTTAAATGGTAAATATTCCAGTGGCAGTACTTAGCTGTAAGGGATTTATGCACGCCTATTCCAAGATTGCAGCACTGTTGTTGAGAGTTGATTTGTTTGTAATTTTTTTTTTTTTTTTTTTTGCCAGTACTGGGGCTTGAACTCAGGGCCCTGGCACTGTCCCTGAGCTTTTTTTGCTCAAGTCTAGCACTCTACCACTTGAGCCACAGCGCAACTTCTGTTTTATTTTCTGTTTATGTGGTACTGAGGAACCGAACTCAGAGTTTCCTGCATGCTGGGCAAGCACTATACCATGAAACCACATTCCCAGCCCTTGAGAGGATCTTTTTTTTTTCTTTTCTTTCTTTTTTTTTTTTTTTTGGTGAGGATCAGTTGTGGGGCTTGAACTCAGGGCCTAAGTGCTATCCCTGAGCTTTTTTGCTCAAAGCTAGTGCTCTACCACTTTGAGCCATAGCTCTACTTCTTTGTTTATAATCTTGTCAGTCTTATGTTCAGCATAACTCTGACTTTAATATGAAAAGTTTGTCCCATTGAAACCTGACTATTAGGTACCAAATTCTCACTTTTTTTTTGGTCATGGAGCTTGAACTCAGGGCTTGAGCTCAGGGCTTGGGTGCTGTCTATGAGCTCTGTCACTCAAGGCTAGTGCTCTACCTCTTTGAGTCATAGCACCACTTCTGATTTTCTGGTGGTTAATTGGAGATATGAATCGCATGGGCTTTCTTACCTGGGATGACTTTTAACTTAATCCTGAGAGCTCAGTAACTAGGATTACAGGTATGAGCCACCAAAGCCCAGCTCAAATTCTCAGTTTTTATTTCAGTTTGGTGAAGAAAATGCTCATGTGAAGTTTAACAAGTAAAGTAATGTTACTCTGTGTGTGTGTGTGTGTGTGTGTGTGTACTTGAACTCAGGGCTTGACATACTACCTTAGCTTTTCTGTTGACTCAAGGATGGTATTCTATTACTTGAGCTTCATGCTTCCACTTTGAGCTTTTTGCTGGTTAATAACTAGACATAAGATTCTCTTGGATATGTCCTACCTGGGCTGGCATTGAACCTAGATCCTCAGATTGTAGGCCTCTAAGTAACTAAGATTATAGGCATGAGCCAGCAGCATCCAACCTACTTTACTCATCTTTAAATTATGGTGCTTTTAAGTGCGTTTAGAACCTTTTAAGATAGTAGTTTTGAGTATCATTGAGGACACAGGATAGTCAAGACTGTGCCAAGTAGCAGGCTGGCCTGGGCCAGCCATCGGCTCACTGTGTAGCACCAACTAGGTCATCCTGCTTCAGCCTACCAAGTGCTAGGATTATAGGTACAACACTCTGCCTGGCAAAACTTGTGGCTCTTATCATAGTATGGTAATGTTTTGAATATATATTATATATAAAATAGGGTTTTTTCTTAAAACAAAGGACTGTGTCAGGGAAATTAGATAAGCCAAGGTAGAAATAGATAAGACTAAAATGTCTTGCATATAGTTTAGTAAAGAGCCGGGTAGAGGGAGAAGCATCTTGAACTATGTCCTGAAAATGTAACACTTGTTAAAAAACATTGGATGAGGCATTTCACCCTCATTCAATACATGCATACTAATTACCAACAGTTTTAATAGGAATCAGAACCCAATATTAACAAGGGAAATAAACTTTCCTCGTGGAACTAGTCTGTTGGATAAGACAAAATAAACAAGAAATTATAGAACGATATACATGAACAAAAGGGGAGTCCAGGGTAATATGACAGCATGTGCGGAGGTCCTTCAAGAGAACAAGCCCCATGGTTTCCATTTGCAATATCTAGTATAGGTCTGGAACAAGCAGAAACGGTCAGATAAGATGATGTTAAGCAAAATGAACCCCAAGATAGAGACACAAGTGGTTTGTTGATTCCTTGCTATTGTTTCTAACACATTTATTTATAAGATACCATGTGATTTTTTTTGTTGCTTTGTATATCCCTCCCCCACAGTATAACCCCTGTTTTCACTGTATTTGATGTTGGTATAATTTGGGGAGGGGAAGGGAAAAAACAAATTGTTTAAATAGGGATACAGATTGACCCATTGCAACAATGAGATGTGCAATATGCTATGTCGAAAAACAAACTTTACAATTTAGGTGGGAGGGGTGGTAGGGGGAGTAGGGAGGGTAGCCTAGGAGATGGGAGAGTTGGGATGGTAGGGAAAAAACAAAGGAGGAGGCAACGATGCTGGATAAGAAATGTACTCATTACCTTGCTCATGTAACTGTAACCCCTTTGTACAGTATTTTCACAATAAAAGACTTAAAAAAAGAGAGAGAAGGGAGCTCAGTTCTCCTGGTGGAAAGGACATTGATGTATGGAGATGACAGGAATGATAAATTGGTATAACTTAGAAAGGTAGCCAGGTGCTGGTAGCTCCACCTGTCATCTTAGATGGGAAGATTCAGGTTCAAAGCCAGCCCATGCACAAAAGTGTAAAAGATTCTCCTAAATTAGCAAAAAGCTGGAAGTGGAGGTGAAGCTCAAGTGTTGGAATGAAAAAGCCAAGTAAGAGCATAAGTCAAACCCTAGTACTAACACACACACACACACACACACACACACACACACACACACTCACACATGATAAAATAAATAAAACTGGAAAGTAGGGGCTTGGAAGGTGGCTCAGTGGTAGAGTGCTTGCCTTGCATGCATGAGGCCCTGGGTTTGATTCCTGAGCCCGACATAAGCAGAAAAAGCTGGAAGTGGAGCTGTGGCTCAAGCAGTAGAGTGCTAGCCTTGAGCTGACGAGCTGAGGGACAGTGCCCAGGCACAGAGTTCAGGCTCCACGACCAACAATTGCATGTTTGATGTTAAAACAGTCTTTCCTTGCCCTTTGTGATTACAGGGCTGCCCTCTCATCCACAGCATGAGCTGGCAAAACGTCAGTGCACAGGCTGCCCCGGGATGATCACCTTTTACATTAAGGGCACTCTTCAGCATGCCAAGACTTTCTTCAAGAACCTGAAGGTAAGCTTTCAAAACAGGTTTTAAACTGTAGGGGTCAGACTTCCATACCTCTCACTGTAGGTTTCATACTTTCAGGTCAGACCTATAAACTTCATCATGAAAGCATTGGGTGAAAAATGATGCAAACTAGAATGGCTGCGCAGCAGACATCTGAGTTTGTTCCTTTGCTTAGCTTTCCATTTCCTGCAATTGATTTGAGAAGGACACATCCTTGTAAGGCATAGGTTTGCAAACCTTCTTAAAAGAGAGTACTTTTTCAAAGGAAGGTGTGAGACCTCAGAATCCTATGCAGTGTAGTTCACAAGTCCTTCTTACAAATGGCTTTCTAAACTCTGCACCTCCCAGCCTGCCTCAGGTGATAGAGAGGAAAGGTGTTAGGGAAGAGGATGCCTAACAGTGAAGGAAGAAAGGCCTTTGTCTTAATTTTCAAAAGGCAGTAAGTTCTCAGTAGTCTTGCATGACAGGCCTGTAGAACACCACTGATTGTGCTTATTTGACCTCTTGGAGCAGATGAGAGTTAAATATGACAGCCATTAGACTATATCAAAGTCAGATTAATCAAAGCTCTCCTATCTCAGGACTGCCCACCTCTAAAATTAGAAAGAAAGGTTTAATTTAATACAGCTATATGAGGATTTTTTTTAATGTTTTATAACATTAAACCAAGCATGGTTGCACACACTTATAGTCGTAATTACTGGGAGACTGAAGCAGGAGGACCACTTGACTCCATGAGTTTGAGACAAGCTTGGGCAATGTAGCAAGATCCTAGCTCAAAAGAAAAAAAAAAGCTTGGCGCTGATGGCTCATGCTTGTAACCCTGGCTACTCAGGAGGCTGAGATCTGAGGATCATGGTTCAAAGCCAGCATGGGCAGGAAGGACTATGAGACTTCCATCTCCAGTTATCACAGAAGAAGCTGGAAGTGGCGCTGTAGCTCAAGTGGTAGAGCTTTGAGCAAAACGAGCTCAGGGACAGAGTGCAGAGCTCTAAAAACAAATCAGAATTCTTTGGTAATATACCATCTTGGTCAAGTTCATCAGTTTATGTTACTATTACAAAATACTCAAAGATGGATAGATAAGTTTGCTTTTCATTACTATCCCAAAATACCTGAGATGGGCTACTCTGTAAAGAATTTTATTTAGCTCTCAGTTTTGGAGGTTAAGAGCATATACATTGGGTGTCCCTATCAATTTGGTGTCTGGAGAGGGCCTAGTAGCAGATAGCATCACAAATGGGAATGAAAGAAGGTTTCAGGGGTCTGATGTGCTCTTGGATCAGTTCACTCTTATGAGAACTCAAGAGCTATCTAGGTTAGTCATGTCTCCAATGACCTAACCTCCCCCTAGACCCTCTCTTAATGGCCCAACCTTCAGTTGGTTGCTGGTGGCTCAGGCCCATCATCCTAGCTACTCAAGAGGTTGAGGTGTGAGACTTTATTTCCATTTAACCAGCAAAACAATGGAAGAGGCTGGGCACCAATGGCTCATGCCTGTTATCCTAACTACTCAGGAGGCTGAAATCTGAAGATCACAGTTCAAAGCCAGCCCTGGCAGGAAAGTCTGTAAGACTACAATTAACCACCAGAAAACTTGAAGTGGCGCTGTGGCTCATGTGGTACTTGAGCTCACCTTGAGCGCCCAGGCCCAGTTCAAGCCCCACAACCAAATAAAAAAGAAGGGGAGACATGAGTTTAATGGTAAAGCAACAGTCTTGAGTGTAAAAACCAAATGAGAGAGAGCAAGGCCCTGAATTCAAACTTCAGTACATATATACACACATATATTCACACACACACACACACACACACACACACACACACACACACACACACACACTATCATCCTGAAGATCAGGCCACCAACCATAGCTTATAAAAAGGCTAGTTAGGTCACAATGGTTGTGGTTAAATGGTTTAAACCAAATGATATTGAAGCTGGTGAGAGTCCTGTCTGTATCACATCATGGCAGAAAATGACATGCAGAGGGACACATGTGAACAAGGAATCAAGACACCAGAAGTGCCCTAACTCAATGTTTACAATACTTACTTGCTTTCTTGGAAATTAATCCAAGACACCTGACTTACTCCTAGTACAGTACCACAGGTCCACTTATCATGATAGTGCTCTTTCTCTAGACCTCACTTCTAAAGGCTTCCCTAACACAATCCCTCAGGAGGCCAAGGCTCTGTGAGGCATGTGCCTCTTTGGGGCCAGACTATACGGAATACTAAATACAAAACTGACTATTTTGCTAAAACCATTTAGTGTTTTTTGTTTTTGTTTTTGTTTTGTTGGTTGTGGAGCTTGAACTTGGCCATGGCACTGTCCCTCAGCTCTTCAGCTCAAAGTGAGTGCTCTACCACTTGAGCCACATTGCCATTTCCAGTTTCCTGAGTGGTTTATTGGAGATAAGACTCTCCCAGGCTTTCCTGCCCAGGCTGGCTTTGAACCGTGATCCTCAGCTCTCAGCCTCCTGAATAGCAAGGATTACAGGCATGAGCCACCAACGCCTTGCAAAACCATTTACTTTTAATCAGGCGCTGCAGACTGGCACCAGTGACTCACGCTTATAATCCTAGCTACTAAGGAAGGTGAAATCTGAGGATTGTGGTTCAAAGGTAGGCCAGGCAGAAAAGTCCATTAGACTCTTATCTCCAATAAAACTACTCAGAAAAACCTGGAAGTGCTGCTGTGGCTCAAGTAGTACAGTGCTAGCCTTGAGCACAAAGAGGCTCAGGGTTAGCACCCAGATCTTGAGTTTAAACCTCAGGACCAGCAAGAGAGATAGAAGAAAAAAAAAATCAGGTGTTGGTAGCTCATACTCATGGAGCTGAGATCTAAGGATAACGGTTTTAAGCCAGCCTGAACACAAAAGTCTATGAGACTCTTATTTCCAATTAATCAGCAAAGAGTCAGAAATGAAGTTGTGGCTCAAGCTGTAGAGCACTCTCTTTCAACAGAAAAGCTCAGAAAGAGTGCTTACGCTTTGAGTTCAAGCTCCAGGGCTGGCACACCCACACACAAAACAATTTCAGAATTTGCTGGAAGTTCTAAATTTATTTTTTCTTTGCTAGTTGTTTGCTCTGGCTGAGAGCTTGGGAGGATATGAAAGTCTCATTGAGCTTCCGTAAGTATCTGTATATTTTTCTTTATTATTATTTTTGTTGTTGTCGAGACTGGGACTCCAATTTGCTTTCTGATGCTTCCTTTCACTCATTTGCTGGCACTCTACCATCTGAGCCACATCACTAACACCTTTAATAATTTTCTTTTAAATTAACTAACTCTCCCTTTTCTGTCTTTCTTCTTTTCCTCTCTACTCCTCCATTTTGTTGCCCAGGTTGGTCCCAAATTCCTGTGTTCAAGTGATTCTACCTCTTCAGATTCCTAAGTGCTAAGATGTAAGCCAGGACCATCACACCCACCTGTCAGTCTTAGGTTAGTTTTACTGGTTGTCTGAAAAGAAAATGTGACAAAATTGCGCTATAACTGAAGTTATTTCACAATAAAAACAGCATGACACTAGGTGATGGATCAGAATGTACTGTAACTCAGGATGGAGATCCTGTTTGTGGCTAGTGGTGGTTACTTATTAGACAGCTGTACCCTATACCTTCACAAATGTTGTATCCTTCTCTTTTCTGCCTGAAAGAAATGCCAGCTGTAATTATATTCTAGGATCTCTACCTTCTGCCTCAGTGCTACTTGGACTTGGAAGGAAGGCTGGAAAAGCTCTTTTCATGGCTTTTTGGGAAATAAGAAAATGTGTCTTTGGTGGTGAATCTCTTCTATGCCCCAGTGGAGAGAGAAAAACCATTACTAGATACTGCCAATCTCTGTAGGATAAATATATCATGGCTCCATGTAGTCTGAAAATTACATTGAAACTCTACTTTTGTGTTCTAGACTATTCTCTATCTGACCCAATCAGTTCATCTATTTTATTAAAGCACCAGAAGATATTAGAGCCAGAAACAACATAAAGTCAAGCAGTTTATTTGATAGAAAAGGAAACAATGATCCAGAAGGTTTAGCTGATCCACTCAAATGTCACAGAGAATATGTTGGCCCTTTTACTCTTGAGGCTTTGAGTATACCAAAAATAGTGATTGGAGGTAAAAGGACTCTAGATATAGAGTTGAGATGCATTTGTGCCATTTACTCAATCATTGCACTTCACTTTTTAAAATCCATACAATGGGATTAACAATTAAAGTATTGATGATTATTTATTACCTGTCCCACCAAGCATTCCTGAACTCTATGTGGCTATGACCAGATATTGTACTTATTATACTAAGATAAGTCAATAATATTACTTAATAATTTTCAACTGCTCTAAATGCACATGATTTTTTGTTTTAATTTTCATACGCATTGATGAAACAGCTCTGTCTTAGAAGCATTGTATTGAGTAATGTCAGGGATGTTAGAGGATATTTCCTGCCTTCTCACCGTAGTTTGTAGTTATAGAATAGTCAAATAATCTTACAAAGTTAAACTACATGGTGTCCAAATAATGATTTGAAATGGTTCAGACAATAGAGTGTTCGTGGCTTTCAAGATGCCTGCTAAGAATTGTGGATGCACAAGAGGGCACACTGAGCATATGAAATTGTTTTGTTTTTCACAGTAATGAAAGGTGTATGGCTTTAAAGATCCTTCCTTAAAAATGATGTGTCCTGATTTATTTAGGCTTTAGTGTAAAGTTTCTTGGCCCTCAGATTATCCAGTGTAGGCTATAACCCTAATGCCAGGGGACGAGCGAATTTAGGTCAGGACCTAGCTATTCTGTCAGCCTTCATTCTTCACCTCCCATCTCTGCTGTAAGTCATCCAAGAACTGCAGTCAGGAAGGGAGGAAGTGGAGCCAATGTACTGGGTTAAGTTTAACACCACAGGTTATCTCTGTGGCCCCTTAACAGTTACTATCTTCTCTAGATCGTAATTTCCTATCTCTTTGGATTATTTTGAGAACACAGGGCAAAAACCCTAAGCTAATGTTTTGGTTTATATTGTCATCATAAACGTTTACTACTGTGAATTATTATTTATTAGGCATCTAGTACATTCTAGTGCTTGCTTTTTATTTTTTAATAAGCTTTTTTATTGTAAACACATTGTACAGAGGAGTTACAGTTACATGAGCAAGGTAATGAGTACATTTCCTAACAAGCATTGCTGCCTCCTCCTTTGTTTTTCCCCTCCATTCCTTCCCTCCCACCTCCACAATTACACCCCCCCCATTGTAAAGTTCATTTTTCAACATAGTGTCTTGTACATCTCATTATTACAATGGGTCAATCTATATCCCCATTTAAACATTTTGTTTTTTTTTCCCTTCCCCTCCCCAAATTATACCTACACCAAAACAGTGAAGACAGGGGTTATTCCGTGAGGGAGGGACATATAAAGCAACAAAGAAATATCTTATGGGAGGCTGGGAAGGGATGGGAAGGGGAAACAAAGGAGGAGGCTACAATGCTTGATAAGAAATGTACTCATTATATTGCCCATGTAATTGTAACCCCTCTGTACAGTATTTTCACAATAAAAAATAAATAAAAAAAGAAATATCTTATAAATATATTAGAAACAATAGCAAGAAGAAAAAAACATTTGAGTCCTTATCTTGAGGTTCATCAATTTAAACCATTTCTGCTTGTCTCAGACATATACTGGTAATTGCAAATAAGGGAAACCATGGGACCTATATTTCTTTGGGCCTGGCTTACTTCACTTAATATAATTTTTTCCAAGTCTTTCCATTTCCTAACAAATGGGGCAATGTCATTCTTTCTGATGGAGGCATAGAATTCCATTGTGTATATAGACCACATTTTCTTTTTTTTTTTTTTTTAATTTAATTTAATTTTATTTGTGAACATACTGTACAGAGGAGTTACAGTTACATGGGCAGGATAATGCGTACATTTCTTACCAAGCATTGCAGCCTCCTCCTTTGTTTACCCTTCACCTCCCTTCCCAGCCTCCTCCCTCCCCCCAATCCCAATCCTTCTCCTTCCCCCCCCCCCCCCGCCCCCCCCCCTTGCACCAACGTTGTAAAGCTCGTTTTGGACATGACAACTTGTACTTCTCATTGTTGCAACAGGTCCACCTGTATCCTTAAACAACTGGTTTTTCCCCATCTCCTCCACAAGTTATACTGACATCAAATATAGTGAAAGCAGGGGTTATACTGTGGGGGAGGGACATACAAAGCAACAAAGAGATAATCTTATAAATGTGTTAGAAACACATGCATGAAAGAAAAAAACATTAAAATACACATCTAAGGGTTCATTTTCCTGACATCACATTATCTGACCTTTTCCGCTTGACTCATACATATACTAGATATTACAAATAAGGGAAACCATGGGACCTACGTTTCTTTGGGCCTGGCTTACTTCACTTAATATTTTTTCCAAGTTTTTCCATTTCCTAACAAATGGGGCAATGTCATTCTTTCTGATGGAGGCATAGAATTCCATTGTGTATATATACCACATTTTCTTGATCCATTCATCTACTGAGGGGCATCTGGGTTTAGACCACATTTTCTTGATCCATTCATTTACTGAGGGGCATCCGGGTTGGTTCCATATCTTAGCTATGGTAAATAATGCTGCAATAAACATAGTTGTGCTGGTAGTTTTAGTATGGCCTTGTTTGTGATCATTTGGGTAAATGCCCAAAAGTGGGATTGCTGGGTCATAGGGGAGCTCTATGTGGAGTCTTTTGAGGAACCTTCATACTATTTTCCAGAGTGGTTGAACAAGTTTACACTCCCACCAACAATGCAGTAGGGTTCCTCTCTGTCCACATCCCCTCCAGCATCTGTTGTTATTAGAGTTCTTGATTATAGCCATTCTAACTGGAGTGAGGTGGTATCTCAATGTTGTTTTGATTTGCATTTCTTTTATGGCTAGGGAGGTTGAGCATATCTTCATGTGTCTATTGGCCATCCTTCTTTCCTCTTCAGAGTTTTTCTGTAAGTCTTTAGTTCACTTATTTATTGGGCAGTTGTTTCTTTGAGGATTTTGTTGTTGGGGGATTTAATTGTTTGAGTTCCAGATATATTTTAGATATGAGACCATTGTCCATTGTATGGCTAGTGAAGATCTTCTCCCAATCCATGGTCTTTCTATTGATCTTGCTAGCTATGTCCTTTGCCATGCAGAAGCTCTGCAATTTCATGCAATCCCATTTGTCAAACCTTTCTTTGATTTGTTGTGTTTCTGGGTTTCTATTAAGAAAATTTCATCTTGTGCCAAGGAGACCTATCCTGTCCTGTAATGTTTTCAGGATGTCTGCTTTGACTCTGAGGTCTTTGATTCATTTGGAGTTGATTCTGGTGCAGGGTGATATATAAGGATCTAGCTTTAGTTTTCTGCAAATGATTAACCAATTTTGCCAGCACCATTTACTGAAGAGGCTATCTTTCTTCCATTCTATTTTTTTGGCTCCCTTATGGAGGATTAGATAGTTATAGGTCTGTGTTCATTTCTGGGTTTCAATTCTATTCTATTGGTCCTGAGGTCCGTTCTTGTGCCAGTACCAAACTGTTTTGATTACCATGGCTTTGTAGTAGAGTTTGAAATTTGGTATTGATATTCCTCCAGCACTATTCTTTCTGTTAAGGATCGTTTTTGCCATTCGGGGTCTTTTATTGTTCCATATGAATTTTTGGATTGCCTCTTCTATTTCCTTGAAGAATGAGGCTGGAATATTGATAGCTATCACATTGAATTTGTAGATAGCCTTGGGAAATATTGCCATTTTCATGATGTTGAACCTTCCAATCCAGGAGCATGGGAGTTTTTGCCACTTCCTAATTTCTGTTTTGATTTCCTTTTTCAGGTTTTTAAAGTTTTCATCATAGAAGTCCTTCATTTCTTTGGTTAAGTTAATTCCCAGGTATTTTATTTTTTGTGGGGCTATTACAAATGGAGTTGCTTTCCTGATTTCAGCCACACTTTTCTCATTGTTGGCATACAGAAAAGCCATTGATTTTTGAGGGTTAGTTTTATACCCTACTACTTTGCCAAAGTTTTGAATCAGCTTGCATAATTTGGGAGTGGAGTCCGTGGGATTCTTTAAATACAAGATCATGTCATCTGCAACGAGGGAGACTTTTACTGCATCTTTCCCTATTTGGATCCCTTTTGTGTTTGCATCTTGTCTTATAAAGCAGAACATTTTAAAGGAACATTTTATGTGTAAAAACTTCATTAGAGGGGCTGGGAAGTTGGCTCAGTGGTAGAGCGCTTGCCTTGCATGCATGAGGCCCTGGGTTCGATTCTTCAGCAACACATAAGCAGGAAAAAAAGCCCTAAGTGGCGCTGTGGCTCAAGTGGTAGAGCGCTAGCCTTGAGCTGAAGAGCTGAGGGACAGCGCCCAGGCCCAGAGTTCAGGCCCCACAACCGGACCAAAAAAAAAAAAACTTCATTAGACTGGTAAGCAAGATTCCTACCAATTTACTCAGACCAAAACTAAAGGGTTTTTCCATGAGTCTGAAGTGAGCTACAAGAACGCAGCTTAAATAGATTTCATAGGTGTTGTACAGTGAGAGGATGAGTGTTGATGTTGGAAATACGTGCACTGGGGCTACACAGGACTGGAAATATGCCCTCCTGTATGCTGCCTCAATTTGCCAAGATGTGTCATCTCAACTCTGGTAATCCTTTTTGTCCACACTTGTTTGACATTCTATGTAGGTTGTTATTTTGCCTTAAAAGTACCCAGGCTTTAGCTTTTATTTCATTATCCAAGGGAGAGAAAATACTTTTTTGTTTTTACTACAATGCCTGATACATATCAGTGGTGTACTTAAAAACATTAATGTACTGTATTGTTATCACTCAGGTGATGCACAGAGGGATTACATGAGTCAGGTAACGAGTACATATCCTTTCCTCAGCATCTTCTGTTCTAGTGGTGTACTTTTAAACACATGGATAATGATAAGTTTCTAATTCAAGGCCTCTACATTGTGGCTTATAAGATGGATTCTTGATACTTTATGGTTGCTAATTGTGGTCCTGCATTTTCTTGATCTGTCCCAGAAGGGGTAGTTCTAGAGTAATCCATGACTCATACTAAATTAGTTCCAAAAAATCTTGGTCCAACAGGCATTGGCCCAACATGCATTTTATATATGCCCAGCATACTGGTAATTTGGTTTCTGACCAAAGCTTCATTTAGGCAGGTAGTGAAATGTACATTTTTAAAGATAGCTTGTCTCTCCTGTAATAGTAACAGGTATCTTCAGTGTCTGTGTTTTTTTGTTTGTTTTGTTTTGTTTTTGGTCAGTCTGGGCCTGGCACTGTCCCTGAGCTCTTCGGCTCAAGGTGAGCACTCTGCCTCTTGAGCCACAGCACCACTTCCTATTTTCTGGTGGTTAATTGGAGATAAGAGTCTCATAGACTTTCCTGCCCAGGCTGGCTTTGAACTGTGATCCTCAGATCTCAGCCTCCTGAGTAGTTAGGATTACAGGCGTGAGCCACCAGCACCTGGCTTGGTGTCTGTTTTTTAAGTATTACTAACAAATAGTATAAGTAGGTTTTAAAAATTGTCATTTTCACTTCAAATTCTGATTAGAAGAGATAAATTTGATCTTCCTTTTCTTTTTCTTTCTTTTTTTTTTTTTTTTTGGTCAGTCATGCGGCCTGAACTCTGGGCCTGGGTGCTGCCCTTCAGCTCTTCAGCTCAAGGCTAAGCACTCTACCACTTGAGCCACAGCGCCGCTTCTGGCTTCTTCTGCTTATGTGGTGCTGAGGAATTGAACCCAGGGCCTCATGCATGCGAGGCAAGGACTCTACCACTGAGCCACCTTCCCAGCCCCCCTTCCCTTCCTCTTTCCCCTCTTCTTCCTTCTTTTCTTTCTTTCTTTTTTTGGGTCTGGTTGTGGGGCCTGAACTCTGGGCCTGGGCACTGTCCCTCAGCTCTTCAGCTCAAGGCTAGCACTCTATCACTTGAGCCACACGCCACTTCCGGCTTTTTTCTTTTTGCTTATGTGGTGCTGAGGAATTGAACCCAGGGCCTCATGCATGCAAGGCAAGCGCTCTACCACTGAGCCACCTTCTCAGCCCCTTTTCCTTCTTTTTCTTTCCTTCCTTCCTTCCTTCCTTCCTCCCTTCCTTCCTTCCTTCCTTCCTTCCTTCCTTCCTCTTTCTTTCTTTCTCTCTTTCTCTCTTTCTCCCTTCCTTCCTTCCTTTCTTTCTTCCTTTCTTCCTTTCTTTCTTTCTTTCTTTCTTTCTTTCTTTCTTTCTTTCTTTCTTTCTTTCTTTCTTTCTTTCTTTCTTTCTTTCTTTCTTTCTTTCTTTCTTTCTTTCTTTCTTTCTTTCTTTCTTTCTTTCTTTCTTTCTTTCCTACATAGCCCTGGCTGGCCTTGAACTCAATCCTCTGCCTTAGCTTCCCAAGTGTTGGGATTCCAGGTATGTGCTACCATGGTTGGCTGATTTTTTTTTTTTTTTTTTTTTTGCCAGTCCTGGGGCTTGGACTCAGGACCTGGGCACTGTCACTGAGCCCCTATTGCTCAAGGCTAGTGCTCTACCACTTGAGCCACAGTGCCACTTCTAGTTTTCTGGTGGTTTATTGGAGAAAAGTGTCTCATGGACTTACCTTCCCGGGCTGACTTTGAACCATGATCCTCAGATCTCAGCCTCCTGAGTAGCTAGGATTACAGGCAGGAGCCACCAGTGCCTGGCCCAAATATCTTTTCCCTGAGAAAAAATTATAAGGGCATAAAAAAAATGATGTTTGGAGCAGAAAAAAAGTGAAGTTAATAGAAAAAAAAATGGGACAGACATATACTTCCAATAACACAATATGGAGATAAAAATTTATTCATATCTTCCAGGGCAATCATGACCCATGCATCAGTGCCTAAGAGTGACAGAGAGAACCTTGGAATTACTGACACATTGATTCGACTCTCTGTGGGCTTAGAAGATGAAAAAGACCTGCTGGATGATCTCGATCAAGCCTTGAAAGCAGCAGTAAGTTGTTTTTTGGTGGTGGTGGTGGTGGTGGTGGTGGTATGTGTGTGTGTGTGTGTGTGTGTGTGTGCTTGTGTGCCCATGTGCCTGTCTGTGCTTACCCTTGGGGAAGGGAGTAGTCATATGTTTATACAGTGGTCTCACTGTGAACTCTAAAGGTTTTTGCCTTCCTACAGTAGACATGGTGGATACATGTGCAGGAAACTCAAATGTAGATTTAAAGGGTGGAAGTATTCTGATGGGGAAGGTAAAGTCTTTGCCTCAGATTTAATATTGTATTTTTCTTGTGCACTCTCTATAGCATGCTTAAGTGAAGATTACAACTAGCAATCCATACTGCTGTTAGAAGCTGCTTCTCAAGAAGATGGGGAATCTTCTGAATAATTGAAGGGACCACTAATGAGCCTTTGCAGAATTTTCAAATGGGAATTGGAAGGCACTGTATGCCTTTTCACAACTATAATCATGTAGAGATTTTCCCCAATGTAAAGTTTCTACTATCTTTTTGCTAATTTCTTACACCTGTGAGATTTGTGGTGCTTTCTGGGATCATGTTGTTTTCATTGCCTAAGATTTAAGTTTAGAGTATACCGTTAATTAATCTTTGGTGTGTTGTGTGAAGCTACATTATTAAACGAATGTTCTTAAACTGAATGTGGTTTGTACACATTGTTGAAAAACATGATTCCAAGTGGTGGTTTACACTCAATTACCATAAGCCAAAAAATCATTTTTGAAAAGTCTACTTGAAATTTTACTGACTTAATGTTGTACTTATTCCATGTTACTATTTTAAATAAATATAATTATCAAATGTATCCTGTTGTGATGTTTCTTGATCAAAGATGATTCTTTTTGTGAACTCAGAGCCTCATGAAAGTGTTCTCCCATTTGAGACATACTTTAAGCTTCTATTGTGATATTCCTATATCATATAACAGTATCCTGTATTCTTGGGTCCTTTTTGCGGGGGAGGGGGAAGTCAGTAACTTGGCTTGAACTCAGAGCCTGAGCACTGTCTCTTGGCTTTGTTTGCTCATGGCTCTATTTCTTGAGCTGCACATGGCTTTTTTGTTGGTTAATTAATGGTAAGAGTCTCACAGACTTTACTGCCTGGGCTGGCTTTGAACTGAGATCCTCAGATCTTCAGATCTCAAGTAAGTCAGATTCTAGCATGAGCCACTGGTGCCAGGCTCTTGACTCCTTTTTAATACCAATGACTACTCTTAGAGGTCTCAGCCAAATATTAATTTTTATAAATGTAAATGACTATTAGCATCAAAGCTTAATATTTTCAGATTAGTCATAAATTATATACATGGTAGGTTAAAGTCTACTATTATATTTTTTACATATTTATCTGAAGTAGTAAATTTATTTGTTTATTTGTTTTTTTGGGGGGGGGGGTCCGGTCGTGGGGCCTGAACTCTGGGCCTGGGCACTGTCCCACAGCTCTTCAGCTCAAGGCTAGCGCTCTACCACTTGAGCCACAGAGCCACTTCCCGCTTTTTTCTTTTTGCTTATGTGGTGCTGAGGAATCAAACCCAGGGCCTCAAGCATGCAAGGCAAGCGCTCTACCACTGAGCTATCTTCCCAGCCCCATGAAGTAGTAAATTTATTGAACTAAAGAAAGAATATTTAAATAGAATCTTAGCTGGATGCCGGTATCTCACATCGGTGATCATAGCTACTCAGGAGATGGAGATCTGAGGATCCTGGTTGAAAGCCAATTGGGTCAGGAAAATTCATAAGACTCTTCTAGCATTTTGCTGGTTTATTGGATATAAGTTGATCTGTGACACAAATGTTAGAGAGTACCTTTGAGTGAAAAAGCTAAGGGACAGTACCAACCCTTAGTTCAAGTACTGGTATAAAAACAAAAGAGCAAAACAGGTCCTTTTATAGTTAATGGGTATGTTAATGTCAATAGTCCTTAAGTCAAAAATATAATATTGGGTTTTTTTTTTGGTGCTGGTACCTCTGCAATAGTGCTTTTTTCTTGTTGTTTTTCTACAAAATTAACCTTAATTTTTTTTCATGGAGAATTTAGGAAGTTAGAGGGAAAATAAAAACTTTTTACAGATTTCCATTATAGAAAAGTAGAAATCAGACATTTGACCTTCATTTGAGCAGCTTAAACTGTCCAGCTAGAATACTTTACCTCATACTACAGTGAGGATACTAATGATGTTGCTTCATGGACCTTTATGAAATCAAGTGACATACATGCATTGGTTTGTTACTCAGAAAAAAACCTCTCTCCAGTGTCAATTTTTTGGGGGTGCATGCTGTCACTAAGTTATATGGATAAGGTTTTGAATTTTGAAGTCATGCCAAATAAAACTATCCATCCCACTCTGTTACAATTTAGATTCAGAGCAGTCTGTTGCTGCTACTAAGAAACAGACTAGTTATTCATTTGATTATTCATTGTTCAGGTTGGAGAGAGGGTGGTTCTCATTTTATCTCTACAAGCTGTCTTAACCAACTGGTTTGAGAATTAACAACAACAAAGAAATGTGAATGTTAGAGAAAAACTGCTAGAAGAACTGTCCAAATATGTAGCTGAAGGACTGACCTCCATCCTGTTTTCCCAGGTGCATACAGATAGCAGGCAAACCACCAAAGATATGCACAGAATGTCTGACACAGGCAATCTGACCTGAGCCTGGGTGTAAACATTCCATGGTAGGCCTAGCCTGTAAGGTTCAGAGGCCAAGCTGTGAGGCCAGGAAAGGGTTAAGAGGCTGGAAGACTAAAACCTGTATCCTGTGAAGGTCAAAGTGACAAGGCAAGACAGATGTAGAGCAGTTTGAACATTAAAAAAGCTTGAGACCTTGGATAGGGGAATACTTACCCTATTCTCTGCCTGCACCTGCAGTCACAGCCCCCGCCCCCCGCCCCCCACTAAACTCATGTAACCTCTGTCTCCTTGCTCAGACTCCATAAAAACCCAACTCTTGTCCCAGCTCTTCACACAGTTTCCAAGCCCGCGGGAAGGCTGTGCCCCTCTCTGCCATATCTCAAGAAACAGTCTTTGCTGGTCGAAGATGGAGTCTGGCTTGTTTTCTTTCTTTCTCCAGACAGCAGTTAATACATACATACATACTTACCTATATATGTAGTATTGTCTGGTTCTAGGGCTTGAATTCAGGACCTGTTTTGGGCTCAAGGCTAGTGTTCTACAACTTGAACCACAGCTCTACTTCTGGCTTTTTTGGTAGTTAATTGGAGACAAAATTCTCATGGATTTTCCTGCCCAGGTTGACTTCCAATCATGATGCTTACAGCTCAGCCTTCTGAGTAGTTGGGATCATAGGCATGAGCCACTGATACCCAACAATAAAATATTTTTTACACATGACAAAGATTTACTTTTAAATAATTAAGAGTACACCAAATAACATGTAATAAGTTCTTAAGTCCTATATCATCTAGTAATTTTGATTCAGGTAAACTAACATCAGCCCAAATAAGTACCTTAGTATTTGTTGCTCTAGCACATAGCCAGAGTGGACTCTTTTAAGGCTGGTTGCTGTTTGTATAAGTTACAAATCACTACTTACTACTTTTTCATAGATAAAGTTCCTGACCTTTAAGAAGTGTAAGGAAAGAATTATTTAATCCTTTTTTTTCTTTAAAGTATTATAATTTTTTTGGTTTGATCCTATAAGATCTAAGAAAGAAAAAGGTGTAACAGGTTGCTTGAGCTAAAAGGCATAGGAAAAGACAACATATACTCATTAAATCCTTAAGAAATAGGAGGTCTAAATAGGATAAACACTAAATTTATATAAAGAAGCTAGACTGGCTACTCTGCAAAAAGTGAAGGGACCTACTACCGCTACAGAAATAATTTAACGTGAAGTAAGGAGGTCAGGTCTGGCAGGCGCCATATTGGCCATGCGGTGATGGTAGGGCCTGGCATCTTGTCTTCATGCTGGGGGAAGGAAACACCCTCACCCATCACCTGTCTCCCACGAGTCAGGGGCAGGAACTTGGCTGATAGGTTACTGAATCTGTCAGTTCAGTGCCTGGGACTGGGAATTTCCTGTAGATCTGACTCCTGCTTGGACCATATTTAGATCCGGGCCAGCCTAGCTGCCATTAGGCCATGCCATGGGTCTCCTGGCTTGGTCTCCAATCATCATGGTGTCTCAATTTAGCCTTCCATTGGAGCGGAATTGGTTTGTTGGTATATTTTTTGTTCTTTCTTTCTCTCTAGCCTGTTTCCTAATCATGTTAAGTGTATTTGCATGCTGAAGACTTTTGTAACAACTATCTGCCTGCAACCTGCTGTGTAATAGACTCCAATATTCCATCTTTTAAAATGTGGCTTCTGGAATAATGCACCTTACAACAAATGTCTTTCACAGATCAGAGCTGGAGCTTTGCCAACACTCCATATTCCGTGAGAATGTCGGCTACACCAACCCATGGAAAAGCACTTCTCTTGTCTTATCTGCAGTAAGTCTCATGAATTTCTGGCTGGATTGTTTCTAGAACTTCCTCCTTGTTGTGCCAGAAGTAGTTCTGGAGGATGGTCATCGTTTCCTTGGTCTCCTTCTCCACCTCACCACTGCAACTTCCATGGGATCCCAGTGTGCCTTGCAGGCCTCGGACACCTAGGCAGCATGCTCCTCCACCTGTAGCAGCTGCTAGATTCACTGCGACTAACCATGGCCTAGCCATGGTGGCTGAGACACAGAGGCTGAGGAGAGGGAGTCTCAAAATGTTTCAAAAATATAAAACAGGCTTAAAAGTTCAATCACAATCAGAAAGCAATAATTATCACTATAATATTATGCAAAAGTTTGAAATTAATCTTGCTATAAAGGGACCAGAAAAAGAAAATTTGCTGGAAGCTGGGCGCCGGTGGCTCACGTCTATAATCCTAGCTACACAGGAGGGTGAGATCTGAGGATTGCAGTTCAAAGCCAGCCCAGGCAGGAAAGTCTGTGAGACTTTTTTTTTTTTTGTCAGTCATGTGGCTTGAACTCTGGGCCTGGGCGCTGTCCCTCAGCTCTTCAGCTCAAGGCTAGCGCTCTACTGCTTGAGCCACAGCGCCACTTCCAGTTTTCTAGTGGTTTATTGGAGATAAGAGTCTTACAGAGTTTCCTACCTAGGCTGGCTTTGAACCATGATCTTCTGATCTCAGCCTCTTGAGTAGCTTGGCTTACAGGTGTGAGCCACCAGCTCCCTGTGGTGAGAATCTTATCTCCAATAAACCACAAGAAAACCGGAAGTGTCACTGTAGCTCAAGTGGTAGAGTGCTAGCCTTGAGCTGAAGAGCTGAGGGACAGCACCCAGGCCCAGAGTTCAAGTCCCATAACCCACAAAAAAAGAAAAAGAAAATTTGCTGGAAGAGAAAGATGAAAAAGAATGACATTGATCAAGATGCATTGTCCTTACAAACTTCCATGTGGAATTAAAACACCTGTGTACAACTACTTAAAGATAATATTAAAAAAGATCAATAGATTAGAAGAAAAGATTTTAAGCCAAACAAATTGCTGTTATGAAGATTTTACATTTGCTAGGAAACCTGAGGGGTTAGGATGGGGGCAGATTATGAAAGGGGTGACACAGACCAAGATTCATTATATGCGCTAATTGCCATGAGAATGTGAAGCGCTGTACAATTATTTCATCCATAAAGGATGACAGTCATCAAAATTGTGCTGTTGCCTTGAAAAGGTGACATGAGGACTCATTATTGAGAGAGAATTGTTAAAAAGGACATTGAAAGTGGGCACTGAGCTCATTACAGCAGGTCAAACAACAGAGCTCATTTCTGGCTGGATCCTAACCTAAGCTC